TGAATGGCTTCCATTCGTATCGTGACAGCCAAAAGGCTTCCTATTCAGTTTCGACCAAACTTGATGTACGAAAGTTGAAAGCAGTTACGCGGGATGTTTCGAGAACATTCCACATCGCTAGTCACTTTCCTCCCGATATGAGTTACTTCCGGTATAAACACGAATCATTTCCAGTTTCGAAAAGGAGATATTCAATGCAATGAAATGTAACCCAAATGCAAGAAATATTCGAAGGTAATAGARCGTAACTCTGATATCTGGTAATTGCTCTATTCAACAAAATTTGCTCCTAGCGAAACAGTTTAATCTAAAATTGCCTAGTTTTCAGATATAAYAWGTGTTAATATGTACTAAAAATATTCTGAGAGTTTGCTGGCTATTTTACTTCTCTTCATGGATTGATACGAGTTTTAGAACAATGTTAGGTGAATTTGCGTTGATTTGACCCCCTAAAACGACCATGATCCTTTGCGTTTAAACAATAGATTGTTTTGATGTGACGTCATAGTGAAATAGGGCAATTGCTCAGTTCTATTCGAACTACAGGTCACGTGACCCTACCTCCCTTAAAACGAGCCGTTGTGTGAAAACAACCTTTTTTATACAGTTAGAAACTGATGTACTATGATAAAATGCCTGTTTGAAGCAGTATTTTCAATTGTACAAATATGTTTTGTTGCATTTGTGTTAGAATGTTGCCTTGTCAGGCTTTTTTTGCTTYGGGTTAACACTTTGATTCCACTTTCATCGGTCATCTCCACTTCCAAACAAGTTAAACTTTCTGAATAACAAGATTTTAGCCTTGTACAACAGCCTTTCTTCACGAAAATATTTTTTGGCGCTCACTGCTTGAATACGAAAAGAATTCTCTCTTAATATGTTAGCGTTAGACGGTAGCCATGTTGTTGGACAAAAAATTTTTGTAATCTAGGAAATGAAATGTCCTTTTAATAAACAATATAAAAATGTTGCATATTTTGATTCTTCACATTGTTCGATGAGATAAAGAAATATTTACAATCCGAATTAAATAGATGTGTCTTTAGCATACGTTAATCTTATAATACACTCAACAAAATTACTCGATTCTGATTGGACAATAGGAGTACAATTAAATCCCAAATTGTACTCTATAGAGTTCCAATTAAATCCCTCAATATTGTTGAGTGTATTAAACAAAAAATCGCACAAAGTTCTCGTACAATTCGGATTTAGATACTCGTGATGTTTTGAAAGATCTCAAATTGGACTCGGCTAAAGCTAGGCTCGTCCAATTTTGAAAACTTTCAAAACATCACTCGTACCAATAAATTTCGAATTGTACTCGAGATCGTGCGATTTCCTATACTAATCTATCTGTGTGCCTTCCTATTTATGGTCCAAAGACCTATTTACTGCGTTGGTATTGTTAGCCTTAGAGCGGTTTTCCAATGCTTGGGAAACTTGAGGTACTGACATAAGGCGCATTTATACGGAGCAATTTTCTCTACAGCGTTGCGAGACAAGTTGCAATAGTGTTTGCACAGTGCATTGGAGACGCAATCGTTGCCAAAAGTATAAACAAATTATTATTTTTTCAAAAGTTGCTGCAACTTGTCTCCCAATGTTCAAATTGTGCTGTAGGAAACGTAGTATACGACACGACATGCCGTAACATTGAAATGGCTTCCATTGGTCTATAAGTATTGCAACCAATCACATCGCGTAGTTACGGTTAAGGCAAGGTACGGTAAGACTACGAAATTTGCCGTACCGTTTCCTACCCGTACGCAAACCGCTCTATATTACTTTTCTTAAGTGCAGTGATCAAACGTTAAACGTCGAACWACACGCGAGCCCGAAACTAATTGAAACAATGGATAACCAGACAGTCTTCCCTGATGTCATTAGGTTCGGCTCATGTGAAGTTTGACTTTAACTTTAGTCTAAGTTATCCTTAGCAACTGATATGCGGAATATTAGAATCACATTTTACTCGTGCTAATCACGTGACAAAAGAAATATTTCGGTTAACATTCACACTAGGTTTAGAGGGRAGGGGTGGAGTATTCTTCGACGAAGGATCACGTGATTTATCAACTCTCCGATTGATTAAAATCTTTTCGTCCCCAGGTCCTCGCGGCTTTGAGCCACGCACAATCGGTTTTGTCAGTTCACTATTCCTAGCAAAGGCGCGTGCCTTGACGTCATCCARAGTAGACTTTGCTGACGTCATTCCTGATGACGTCACCGGTTTACTAAGAGAATTCTTCTTAGGACTTACGTGGATTACAGTCGGCAGATCAGAGTACTGTTCAGAATCAAGTGACGTAATTGACATAGCAGGTGAGCCTGCGAACATTCGTTGTACAGACGGCGGTCTATTCGAAGGAGCATGCTCAGATACTCTTGTAGTACCTCCTGAATCTCTTTCAGGTAATGCCATAACGTCTTTKGTTTTGTCCTTTCTTACGGGTGAACTCACTCTTAGAAAGTCTTGGGTTTCCTGTGGTTTATCACTCGGAGAAGGCTTGGGTGAATCACTGGCACCTTCGGGGACGTATTCCCCAGGACGACAGTGTACATTCTTAGGCACTAATATATAGGTGCTCTGGGGACTTTCGCGGTAGGGAACCTTGTGTACCGGAAGTATTCGGTTAAACGGTTGTTTATTGGATTTTGATTGKCTATCACCTTGGGTAATAAATTACGGAGAAAAAAGAAAATAAACGTCAAAAAGGGTCAGGAAAGTATAGCGAGTTGAACGAGCTAGGTACATTCTGGTCTAGTTTGGATGCAAACATCTTTGCTGTGGCTCAAACGGTGTTTGCATCCAAACTAGCCCAAAATTCATTATGTCCAAGAAAATTTCAAACAGGGCGCATTCTGGTGAAGATTAGTTACAAAAACAAGCAAGCAAAACGATATAGAAAAATAGGTCTATACCCAAGCTAGTCCAGAATGCACCTTGTTCCTATAATCCAAAACAGGGCTATGATACTACGCATTAAAGTTTTCTTACTAATGGGGCTCCTCCTTTTGGTATAGAGGKTTTGAATCATCACGTGACGGCAGCCATGTTAGATGGCAGGAACAATACAATCGTCTTACATAAGAAAAAATTCAATTCCCAAAAGTGAAGGGATTTATTGTCCTGCCATCTAACCACAGGAAGCCCAAGCTGGATTATGGCGCTGTCACGTGAAAAAAACTTCCATTCCATTCACCCTTCATATCCATAATATTTGCAAGAGGAGAAACCCCTCCCTCTCCTTCTCTAACCCTTCCCTCTCCTTCCCTTACCCTCCCCTCTCCTTACCTAACCCTCCCCTTTCCTTCCCTAATTCTTCCCTCTCCTTCCCTAACCATCCCCTCTCCTTCCCTAACCCTTCCCTCTCCTTCCCTTACCCTTCCCTCTCCTTCCCTAACCCTTTCCTCTCCTTCCTTTGCCCTTCCCTCTCCTTCCCTCTTCTTTCCTAACCCTTCCCTCCCCTTCCCTCTTCTTTCCTAACCCTTCCCTCCTTCCCTAACCCTTCCCTCTCCTTCCCTAACCCTCCCCTTTCCTTCTCTAACCTTTCCCTCTCCTTTCCTAATCCTCCCCTCTCCTTCCGTAAGATATAACTCTTTCTATACCTTTAGAAGGTGGTTCAGGGCTAGCAGCTTCTAATGCCTTGGTCATTCTTTCCATCTTTGATTCAACACTCAATGGAGGCTTGTCAGATTCTGCGCATGATTTGTCTTCCTCGAGTAACTGCTTCAGGCATTGTAGATAATATCGGCGAAGCTTCTTGGCGGTGGAATGACGCTCCTTTAACACTTCCGCCCTGCAAGGGAAATAGTGTCAATGTAATAATAATAATAGTAATAATAATGATAATAATAATAATAATGTAAAATTTATTGTTTTCCAAATTCGATCGTCAATCTCGCTATATATATAGGCAATTTACGATTAGCAACTTGAATCTTTTACACAAAAGGACATGAAAGAGACACTGTTGAAAAACGCACTGCGCATGCGTTGGGAGAAAAACAAAATGGCGGACAATAACAATTGATCACATCTAAAGGTAGGTTTTATTTTAACAGACAGGGCTATTTTTTAAATATTCGTTTTGGAATTTTACAGATATTTTTGAATTTCTTTACATAGAATCCGACTATGTGATTATCTGCAAATTAGCCATGCTGGATGTCGACGTCGGGCCGCGAGTGGCGGCATTTTCAAAGATTATTTTTGCTTTGTATAAACAAAAGTTTTTTTGTATAAATCAGCAGTGTATTACAATCGAAATTATCTTGCTATTGCGAAAAGGACAACCTTAAGTTTTCAGCATTTTTCTTAAGTTTTGCGATTTTGTAAAACGATCAAAACACCGGCATCAAAAACATAAGTTGCCCTTAGTTACGCTACGCCATCTCCGAGCGTGCGCAGTGCGTTTTTCACCAGTGTCCATGAAAGATACTAAAAATATTAATTATACATTTTCCTCGCACATTTAGTTGTAACGAAAAGTTAAAACTTCATCAAGTCAGGGTCATCCCAGACTTTGTTTCTACAGCAAAATATATAATAGGTTGTTTGAATAGCAATGTTCATAATTTTCCTTATTACATATTTACATTGATAATAATAATAATAATAATGATAATGATAATAATAATATAGATGTTCATATTGATGTTTACAATGATAATACATGATGATGATGATGATGATAATGACGATGATGATGATAACAATAATGATGATGATGCCCTGACTTATATCAACCCTATTCGTTACCTTATTTTCTTTGCAGCGTTGGACTTTGTCTGGTTCACGTGATCAAGCACGTCATCGCGTATCTTAGCAACGGTCTCCAGATAATGCTCACGGAGCTCGTTCATGGTCTTGGCTGCTGTAATCTGGTCAATGCTACCAAAACTAGTATCACAAAGGCTCTCACTGGCTTGGTTTGGCGGAGTCTACAAACATAATCAGGTATAAAAATAGCATTATTYTAGAAATGACCTTGATAGTTTCCCTAAAGACGCGATTACACGGAGCAATTTTCTGGCACAAGTTGCATGGAGAATTGCAGCGTGTAACCTACAGCGGAATTTGAAAATAATGTTGCGAGACAAGTTGCAGCAATCGTTGCGAAAAATAAAAATTTTGGTAACGATTGCGTCACCGTTGCACAGTATAACTTGTTGCGAGACAAGTTGCAGCAATCGTTGCGAAAAATAAAAATTTTGGTAACGATTGCGTCACCGTTGCACAGTATAACTTGTTGCGAGACAAGTTGCAGAGAAAATTGCTCAGTGTAATCGCGCCTAAAATCTTTTCCCTATAAGTAGGACAGACCTTTTCCGAGATAGCAAACATGGTGCTTTGTGGCCTATTAACAGTACATACATCTTTTGTTCATCATGCCTCATATGGTGTTGTTTGTACGCAAGCTAGACCACAATGCATCCTGTTAGTCGAACTCAGAAAAGGTCCTATTAGGGTTGGCGCAGTTAGTTWAGCGTCGGTCTTCTGTGTGGAAGGTCTTGGTTCGAGACCCGGCAGGATCAACACTCAGGGTCGTAAAATAACTTAGTAGAAAGTGCTGCCTTTGTAATTACAACTATTCCTATGCAAAATAAAGCAARAAATATGTCGTACTTGTGTTCCAGATTCCTTTCTCTTATTTATTTCATTCCGTATTTTCTTTACTTCCTCCAAGTGATCGTTATGCAGCTTTTTAAGAGCGGTCACGTGCTCTTCCTTCAATGACGTCAGTTCACTTTTGGATTTCTCGAGTGCTGATTGGTRGGATTTTCTCTCGGCATCCCATAATTGTTGCTGCCTTTTCTCTGCCATTTCAGTGGCTGCTGCGATGGCTTTTTCTTGGTCTTTGAGGAACTGTTCTCGTGCGGTTTCCAACACTGATTTGAGTTTCTGTTTGTGTTGGTCTTCGACTTGTATTCTGGAATGGGAGAAAATAAATTATGACGATGGTGGAAAAGAAAGGAAGAGAAACGAAGGAAGAGAGAGAAAGAGAAAGGAAAATAGAAATGAAGGGAGGGAGGAAGGAAAAATGAAAAAAGAAATGAATAAAAGAACGAACAAACTAAAACGAATAAATGAATGGAAGGAAGGAAGGAAGAGAAGAAGGAAGGAAGGAGGGGAGGAAGTAAGGAAGAAAAGAAGGAATGGAGGAAGGAAGGAAGAGAAGAAGGAAGGAAGGAGGGGAGGAAGTAAGGAAGAGTGAGGAAAGGACGGGAGGGAAAAAGGTGGAAAACAATAGCCAAAAAATGAATTAAAAGGGAGAGAGAAAAAAGAAAAATTAAAAGAAAAAAGAAGAAAAAACAAAAGAAATAGAAAAACAAAAGTAGAAAAAAATCTAAAGCCCATACCTTTCCTCTTCCTGCTCTTCTTCCCACACTTGTTTAGCTTCATGTAGCACAGCCACAAGTTTTTGATCGAATTCTTCTTCGACTAATTCTCGTACAATTCTCGTGTTGTCTTCGTGTTCTTCTCGTAGTCGGTCGAGCTCTTGCYGATGTTCGTCTCGTAGCTTTGACATTTCGTTTTCGTAATGATTGCGCAAAGCCTGGGGCGATCCCGCGACCTGGAAAGCAAAGCAGTATGAGATGAAAAAATAGTTAGTAAAGAAA